CCCACCCATTCGTCCTATCTACCCACCCATTCGTCCTATCTACCCACCCATCCATCACTAATCATTAACGTAGATAAGCATTTTTTGCAGCATATCGAGAGTCCATGGTTAAACTCGATACAGGATCACGAAAGAGAACGAGCCATGACATGCACCTTCCACTTGGTCGAAGTGTTTAAAGAGGGAATGATGGTTTCTGCTGACGGGGTATGTGTTGGCCTGATGTTGCTGTGCTTTGAATTTGAAATCTTTATTGTAATTTATAAAACATTTGAGATTTAACGCGCGCGCTGTTTGGCTGGCTACCGTGCCTATATCAGAGGACACAGACAAGCTCGCACAAAATCATTCAAAAATATCTAAAAAAAAAATTATTACAAAACATCTGCTTATGTTTCGGTACCGTAATATTAACACTCTGGGAGCTGGAGAGCATTCGAGAAGCAAGAGAGTTTTCCTAAGCTTGCTTCTCTCGTGGTCTAAAGCTCCCAGCGTTTTTATTGTTGGCTTTCACTCAGCTGATAAAAGTTTTGGAATCTACGAACTATAGTTGGATTTGGATTTGACTAATACACATTAGTAGTTCCTAATTCCATTGTATTCTATTCGACTGACACACGTCTTCTATGTAATTTCAGAAAACCACATCGTTTAGTGACGTTGGTCTTGTGATAGCCCGCGTGGTACCTCGCTGTACCGACCCCTTGGTTCCCGTCAGACAAACTGCCATTGACACCACACAAGCAGTTTTGAGGATTTCTGCGAGATACCAGGGTAAGAAAAAAAGTTCCCTAGTTAATGACGTCAATAGCATGCATGGTAGTGACGTAATCATTGTATGTAGCATAGAATTTCATTTAGTGTAATTTTCATTTACTCTTAATATTATATAATATTAATCTTTATTATGAAGACTTCTTGAACTTCATCCCAACCTGATTTCAATGCTCAAGAAAAGGGGATTGTTTTGTTTTGACCCTTAGATAATAATAATAATAATAATAATAAATAATAACAATAATAAATAATAACAATAATAAATAATAACAATAATAAATAATAAAAATTTTTCAATGCTCTTACAATATATGTGTAAAATTGAAGAAATAGAAAACGCGTGCGTGTGCTGTGTGCTGTCATAAAGCACGCAGGGGTTGGCATAACACGAGAGAAGTGTTAAGAGAAGCACGACGCGTAGCCGAGTGCTTCTGGACACTTCTCGAGTGTTCTGCCAATCCCCAAGTGCTTTATGACTGTAGACAGCACAGCAAGCAAGTTTTTTATTTCTTTTATAAAATACAAATTACAATAATAGATAGGAATGACACAATGGAAAGTGCAAGCACGTGCAATGTGCTTTCATAAAGCACGCGCTCCAAACCAATCAGAACGCAACATTCATAACAGTTATTTTATAAATAGAATTATCACATGCTGAGAGCCTGACATCACCCCAACTCACAATAATATTTATTTCATTTCCCAGATCAAAGAAGGTTTGATCGAAGAACACAAGAAAATCAAAATGGGATCTGTAAGTTCATTTTCTTTTACATTTCTTGTTGTCTCATTTTTCATTATTTCATTTTCTTATTTTTTTGTTTCTCTTCCCAGCCTGATGATCTTGAAAACACCTTTGTTACAGCAGTCATTGATGAAAATGTGAGTTAACCAAAGATTTTGATTAAAAAAAAWTTTTTTTTCATCTTTTCATGGTGTACGATTTACCCTTTTATCATTACTGTTTCATTAGAAACACCGATGCAGCTCACACTAGTTTTTAGCTAGTTATCTCTTCTTAAAGATTTTTATTATTTAGATTTATCAATGACTTTTAAACTCCAGTGTATGTAGGCTTAGCTTCGAAATGAACTTTCCCTTATTTTATTTTATTTTTTCAAAGTCCTTTGATAACATCAAGTCCTATATTGACTACTGCAAAGAGAGCAGCAACATAACCATCCTTGCTGGAGGAAAGTGTGACAAGAGGTAAATACAGTTGTAGTTTAATTATATAACAGTGTCCGCACTTAATTTGGAAGGAGCGCATTAATTCATTAATATATGCATAAACATGTAAACTGCGNATGTATATATTAACAAATTTAGATATATTAAGAATTTATAATATAAAATATATAGATAATAAAAATAAAAGACTGGGAATTAGTACAAGCATATTTACAGCCATGAGGTTCCCCCCACACGCACTACCTCTTTATTTACTATTACGACAACCAACGCTCGGTCTATCAAGAGAAAGAGAAAGACATTGTATTTATGGTAGACAGGGCTTCCATTGATACCAGTGCGCCTACGGTGTAGACTGGAAGGTGGTCTCCTTATATACAGTCCGTCTGGCTTCCCTGAGGAACGCGCAAGGGCGTGACATCAAAACATGTTTCTATGATTTGGAAATACTTTATAAATGTTGCTTCAACTGAAAACAAAAGACATGTTTTTTTAGGGTATTCTATGGACAGTAAAGACGAACTAATCGACGCACTGTCCATTCTCAAGCAAAGGGTGCTAGAGGATGACGCTAATGTGCTTTTCAGCGTTGCAAGTGACTTGTCGAARGTAACGTAATATACCGTATAAGAGTCTCATAATCTCATATGAGACTTGGTAGCTCAGTGGTTAGAGCATGGCACCGGAATTGCCAGGGCACGGATTCAAATCCCGTTCAAATCATAATTATTATTAACAGCTGCATAAGTTGCTTGATATAATGTGCAGATCAGCTATTTATATATTACAACCGCAGTACAAATATATGGTTTATATATATTCTCATGTACAGTATTATACCAGGAGTTTCGCATTTTATGGGAAGCATGTATCGGGTAGCGGTGAGAGTGCTCGCCTCTCACCAATGCGACCCGGGTTCGATTTTCGGACTCAGTCGTCGTATTGCGAATAAGTTGTTTGTTGGTTCTCTCCTGTGCTTCGAGGGTTTTTCTCCGGGTCTCCTTGCATGTTCAACCTAAAATATATTTAACCACTATTGTGAATTTTCTCGCTTTCTGATTGGTCTAGAGCCGGGGGGAAATGGGAGAACATACCGATAAATTACGTCAGCAAATCGCGCGCGCGCTTGAAACCCCGTTTTTCATTCAAATTTTACCCTTGTTTAGTTTGTAGTGATTTTTAAAAATCTTTTTGGGTAAAAAACGGCTACGCCTCGTGAGTCCACAACATTTTGACGGCTAGATGACGAAAATCGTGGTAAATAAGAGGACATACCACAGAAAACTGGAGGAAATTGGTTAAACTACATTGATTATCTGTTTTTACCAATGATCCGTTCTCTGCTCCTTTGTTTGTTTTTATTTCTTGTCATATAAAAACTGAAGTTATGCTGTCTGTTATTTTCCAGGTTATTGCTAAAAAGCTCCTGAGTGATCATCTATCCGGGTTTGTCTTCGCATTAATGGATGGTCTATCAGACAGCCAATCACATAGCTCTAGTGGAGCATGCGTGGTTCTTAATAGTATTATCAGAATACGAGGACAAGAATTAAGAAAAGAGGTAAGGTTAGGTTCCTTAAAAGGGAAATAGTGAAAATATACTCCAAAAAGGCTAACATGGCTTGGCTTCCTATATAGTGCAGTGCAAGCGAAACAAGTTGTCGTAGTGACTAAACGGGATTTGGGATTTGGGATCTCGGGATCTGGGATCTCGTGATCTGGGATCTGGGACCTCGGGTTCGATCCCCAGATATGGCATCACATTTGAGAAGGGCTTGTTGGGTTTCACCCCCCTTTTTTCCACCGGGTTCTCCACCTTTCCTCCCTTCACAAAATAAATCATTTTCGTTTACGCCACAGGTTACTCGCCTAGTGATTGGTCTGCATGAGAAGCTCTGTATCATATATCACGCACAAACTCGTACCGGAACTCTCCGCTCTATGAGAACTTTAGCTTCACATCATCTTGCTCCTGTCATAACTGCTTTGCTGGATTTCCCCCTACCTCTTGATCAGTAAGTAAAATAAAATGCCTGATGATATAAAGAAACGGCTTTTTGGGAAATGGTGTTTGGGTTTTCAGTCCATATATTTCAGCTATTCAAAGCAAAACGGGTTTTGGTTAGTGTCCCGCCTACTAAACAAGAAATTCATAGTTTGATCCTCAGTGACCTCACGCACTTGTTTTAAGGAGCAAGTGTGGCTTGGTTGGTTAGTGTGCTGCCTGCTAAGCAAGAGGTCCATAGTTTGATCCCCAGTGACCTCACACACTTGTTTTAAGGAGCAAGTATGGCTTGGTTGGTTAGTGTGCTGCCTGCTAAGCAAGAGGTACATAGTTTGATCCTAAGTGACCTCACACACTTGTTTTAAGGAGCAAGTGTGGCTTATACTTATCTTATACTGCAGCCACGTAGTTGAAATATGGAAGACCCTTGCAGGAGACCCAAGCCTTGCCCTAAGCATCTTTGACTACATGATGGACATGCTGGTCAGGACTTTGCCGTACAACGAAAAACCAAACCCAAAGAACAAGAAAGAAATGATAAGAATAGCAGCTTTACAACCAGTTGCTGTAAGTCATTTATTTTTTCAGTGATTTATAAACTTTTGCATTAGTGGTTGGCCACGTTCTAAACTTTACTCGACTCTTGGCGAACAGGCTTCTTTGTTGCGATTTTTTTCTATGCATTTATTGCTTCCTTGCTTCCTTCCTTCCTTGCTTCCTTGCTTCCTTGCTTGCTTCCTTCCTTTCTTCCTTCTTCCGTCCCTTCTTT